CCGTTGGGATACTGTCTGTACAAGTAAAGCACAACATATTCACTACTTGAACTATATGTATCTGGCTCAATGTTGTCTCCAGCCACCAAACCTGTCAACAATATGATTTTGATTTATGAAATCAAGGTAGAAAATAATATCGCAAACACACTTTACTTTTTTTTTCCAGAGAAAAATCAATCAGTAAAATCAAACCATTAAAGGATTTGGAGTTTGAGACTTTAAAACAATGTAAATATTAATATAGAGACTTTCATTAATTGTTCAGTAAATAATATACCTGTTCCCACAATGAGAATCAGTATAAAACATCTGTCCATGTTCAATCAGATCAGTTCAGTTCTCTGTTGAGTCTCTCAGTGCTCTGAGCTGTAAGTCACTCCAGATCAGTCAGAAACACACACAGGAACTTCCTTCTCTCTGAACTTCCTGCTGCTGTTCACTTTCATCCATATGGTGCCGTATACTGTATATACACTGCCATTCAAAAGTTTGGGATCAATAATGTTTTTTAAAAAGAAGTCTCTCATGCTCATCAAGGCTGCATTTATTTAATCAAAAAAGCAATATTGTCAAAAATTATTACAATTTAAAATAACAGTTTTCTATTTTAAGATACTTTCAAAATATTTTACTTTATTTTACTATACTTAATAATCTTACTGATCCCAATTTTTTTAACGGCAGTGTGTGATAAAAATGGAGGCACAGATAAATGACTGGGGAGGTGCTCTGCTGTCTATGAGAAGTCTGGTTGTAGTCAGTGACATCATAACCGATTCTCTCTCGTTTTGTTTCATAATGTAAATATTATGAGGAATAATATATATCAGTTTAACTTATGTGCATACCCTTATTCTTTTTTAAATTCAGAGTTTCATAACTAAATGTAATCAAAACTTACTCATTAACAGGATAGTTCACCAAATGGTGTCCCAAACCTGTGTGACTTTCTTCAGCTGAACACAAAAGAAGATATTTTGAAGAACGATGATCTTGACTCTTTTATGCCACGCATTCTTATACATGCTACGGTTCTTAGAATAATCTACATGCGGCAAACTATTCTTAGAATTTTTGTTAAACTGTCCTACTATTCACATTAAATCCAATTTAACTGACACAACTTCTAGTATACAATTCCCTTTCTTTTGGAATGTGTTGTAGTTCATATATGAGAAGTCAGATAGCATAGTGTTGATTTTTCAAACTGACCTTTTCTGTTCTGTTCTAATATAAACTTTGTGAGGTATAAGTATTGTTTTTTTGTGTTTGCTTACAAAATGACACATATATTTTGGTCTAGTTTGATAGTGTTTTATGGCACTAAGCCTGTCCAGTGTGCAGTGGTCCTCAGTGATGACTGACTGATCACAATATCATGTTTTTGTATGAGTGTTGAGTGTGTTTCAGTTACAGTGGGCTTCAGAGCACAGTAGTACACAGCAGAGTCAGACACACGCACATCCTGGATTGTAAGAGAAACTGATTTTGAATTTGGTTAAGACTGCTGTTGAATCTATCCTCAAGTGGCTTGTCATTTGTACCGAATCTGATCAGCATGTATTCTGGGAATCCATTTACTTTTTGCTGGGACCAGAAGATATCTTAAGATATATCAGTGGTTTCAGCTGATTGTTACAGCTGCTTTTTCAACAGCAGTTTGAACTGTTGTATTTTGTTCAACACTTTCCAACAAGTCATCACTGATGAGGATCTCATATTAAAAGGACAAAATATTACATTCATGTGTGTAGGGTAAACATTTGAATTTGAGTATGTTAAATTTAGGCGAAAATACCAAAAAACGCCCTGAGCTTAAGTGGTTTTAAAAAATTATCTTACTCCAAAAATATGTGATAAAGATGACTACAATTTTTTGCCAGTTTGCCATCACATAAATTATTAAAATAAACAATTAGATAAAATAAGCTTGAAGTATACAGTGGACTTTTGTTTTAGGCTTTATTTAATAAAGTTGTACTAATACGGTCAATAATATGCAAAGACCTGCAGGAGGAGTCTGACTGCACAGTATCTGAACACACACAGTGTGACTGTCTCCTCCTCCTGAAGAATTCTGGGTGTATTTTAATGACTTTACAATGTTCTGATGTTTGTTTTATCAATCTCTTCATATACATTGGTTCATGCACTTGGACTCTTTTTTTTAGTTTGATGAACTAAACTAATTCTAGAATGCTCTTGAACCATTAAAAGATTGTTATTGTTGTTACTCGAGTCTCAACTACTGTGTTTGTTTTTATTTGTATTTAATTCTTATTGATTCATTGTAGTTATGCATTTCTCATCAATGTCATGGAGTCATATTTTTGTATGAGTGTTGAGTGTGTTTCAGTCACTGTGGGCTTTAGAGGACAGTAGTACACAGCAGAGTCAGACACACGCACATCCTTGTCAGGAGAACTGTTTCTAATTTGGAGTCCAGTTTTGCATGAAATCTCTCCTGAAATTCAGGCTCTGTAGTTCCCTTCCCAATGGAAAGGTCACTCAGCATGAATGTTGGTGATTTGTTTGGTAGCCGTTTGTACCAGAAGAGATAAGCATTTGCAGAACTCATGAGGGTGTAATTACACAAGTCACTTGATTTCCTTCAGCAGAAGTCTTTTCTCTTAAAGGCTGATCGACACTATCCTGTCCCCAGCACACTGGAAAAGATGGGACATAAATTAACAATATTTCACAGATATTAAGTAACTCAAATAAATTAAGAGTAAATGAAAGACTGTTCTTACCAAAATAATGTGTTGTGAATAAAAGAGTAATAATCAGCCATTTCGTCATATTGTTGGTCAGAGTTGGAGAGAGTAAGTGTCAGACAACTGATGTGAGTCTCTCCTTATGGCAAATCCCTCTCAATTATTGTCTTGATGTTTTCAACAACTGAACAGTCTGACACAAGAAATTAAGAGATGCTGACCCCTGGTGGTAAATTCATTATATTAAAAACTTCAGTTTTTTTTTGTTCATTTGTAACCTTTGAAATCATTTCAAATTATTGAATTATATAAACCATAGAGTGCAATATCCTTTGACAGATTATGCATAATATTACATTATTGTGTAAAATGATGTTACATATAATGATCTTTACATATCTGAATCAAGATGTGCCAGGATAGATAAGATGACAGGATAATGTTCTTAGAAAGAAAAACTTATTTGTTTTTCTTATAGTTTTAGATTCTTAAGGTTTAGCTTTATATAAGAATTCGAGGGATAATACATTATTCTTAGCACATTCGCTGAGATGGACAGTCAAGTTCAGATACTGTGCTGTTAGACTCCTCCTGCAGGTCTTTGCATATGTGACAGTGTTACAATAACTTTATCAACAGAGGCTGAAACAAGTGTCTATTGTAGATTTCAACAAAATCTATTTATCTAAATCAGGTTTATTTTATTTAATTTTTGTATTTAATCTTAAGATATTTTTGTTTTATTATTATTCATGATAGATGTTCACATCTATTAGGACTGGTCATGCATATATTGAATATACCTATGTTCATTTGTCTTTATAACTTGATTATAAATTTCAGCTGCAACCACACCCAGGTGTTTCCACAAGTATAATTATATTGTGTGAATCATAGATTGTGTGTTTGATATGGCTTGAGATCAAAGTGAAAAATGAATTTGAGTTTTTGTACAGCTTCACATACACTTTGTATCACTGGGCTCCTACTCTTAGAGCACAATAATAGAGAGCTGAATCTGACAGAGTTACACCAGTAATAGTGAGTTCAGTGGATGTTTCTGATGTAGTCGACTGAAAGCGAGGTTCAGCTGGGGTCCCAGTATCACTCCATCCCCGAGCTTCTTTCCACATTAAATACTGAAGTTCTTTATTAGGGTACTGTCTGTACCAGTAAAGTCTAACATATCTGCTGCTTGTATCATATGTGCAGCTGAGGGTCACAGTCTCGTCTTCCTTCACGACACTAGTTTCTTTATTTGGCCTGATCTGGTCTGCAGTCATCACACCTAAAACAAAGAAATAAGACAATTAGACAAGTTGCACAAAATTAATACTAGTGCTACAAAATAAAATTGCATCCAAAATAAATGTCTGTGTTTACATAATATATGTGTGTCTACTGTGTGTATTTATTATGTATATATTAATGCACACACATCCATACATATATTGAAGAAAAAACAATATTCATATTTATATATAATATAAAATATATAAATGTAAATATATACACATGCAAATATTTTTAAAACACATGTATGTGTGTGCATATAAATACATAATAAATATACACAGTACACACATATATATTATGTAAACGCGATTAATTGCGATTAATCATTTGACAGTACTAATTCTTACACTTATAGTTTTTCTACTGTACATCACTAGAATGAATAAAGGGAGTCATACTGTACCTTGAGCCAGAATTAAAATCAGAAACAGGACTTTTTCCATATTTATTAGGTCAGATGAATGTATTAATGTTCTCTGTGCTCCAATTCTAATGCATTAGTTTAGTCCTCACAGAAGAGGTGTGTCTTCAGGCTTTTTTTTAGGTTTGATGGTTTCAGATGCAGGTGATTGGTTGGAGGTGACAGTTTTAAAACCAAACAAAAGAGCCTTGAAAAAATAAATCAGAAAATGTGTGATTGGTCTCTTTTGGTCTGGTTACAAATTCGGGATTAATAAACTGCACTCTGTTAAAAAGGTTGAAGAGAAAAAATAATTAAACACAATGGAAATACTGTAGATCTGCTCTGTTTTATTTTGGCAACGTCACAACTCCAGGTTCATCTTGGACTTTAAATACTTGATCCTTTATGGTTTGCCACAAATTGCACGTTATTGTTTATTACTGATTCTCACTTGGTGAAAATAACTTTTCATAAGGTTTCTACTTTGTTTATAGTGTTTTGTTAACAAAGTTAGAGTTTTCAATTTATTTTGTGTGTTTTTGTATGAGTGTTGAGTGTGTTTCAGTCACTGTGGGCCTCAGAGCACAGTAGTACACAGCAGAGTCAGACACACGCAGATTCTTGATCATCAGTGGAACTGTTTTTGATGTTGTATCCAGTGTTGCAGAAAATCTCTTCTTAAAATCAGGCTCAGTTGTTCCTTCACTAAATGGATATTTGTTCAGAATGAATGCTGGTGATTTGTTTGATAGTTGTTTGTACCAGAAGAGATAAGCATCTGTATTTGTAGCTTTGGTAGTGTAGTTACACATTAAAGTTACTCGATCTGCTTCATTTGCAGTCATTTCTCTTGAAGGCTGTTCAACTCTGTCTTGTCCCCAGCACACTGGAAAATAGATTTCATTATTAATCTTTGACATATATTAAGTAACTCACATATGAACAAATGATAATGTGGAAATTAAGAACTTCCTTACCTAAATCATGAGCTGTGAAGAAAAGTGCGATTGTCGCCCATTTTTCCATTGCTGAGATAGAGATTAATATTTTAACGTGTTCTAATGAATGTGTCTCTCTGTCTTTACTCTAGCTCTTGGTTTGCTCTGTGCTGCTTTTCTCTTAATGTTTCAAGTCTTCAAGCTCTCACATGCCACCTGTTTCCTTGAAAACACTTTGAGGGATGCTGCCTCCCTGTGGTGAATTTATGTATATTCTAACTGACATTTTTATCCAAATTTTAAAACTTACAAATGTGAAAAACAATCAGAAAGCAGTAACAGAATACACATAAAGTTATTAGATTTCTGCAACACAAGAGTAGTGTCTTGTGGACGTGTTTCTAGGGGAGACCGTTTTGCAGCTTCATGACATTAATATTTACCCTGTGGTAATAAAGTTTATCAAGTAATACAAATACCTATTAAGAAATGTCCTGAAAAAGACATTCATGGTTTGTGAAGAATAATAGAAAGATATTTTAAGTTTAATTGTATTAATAATATTTAGAAAAATAACACCAGTTAAAATATGTAACAATAAAAAGACAAAATTAAAAACTATACTTGGTAATATTTCCAAACTTGTGAATGCCCACATATAGTTCTTGTGTGAGTGTTGAGTGTGTTTCAGTCACTGTGGGCCTCAGAGCACAGTAGTACACAGCAGAGTCAGACACACGCACATCCTGGATTGTCAGAGGAGCTGATTTTGTTATTGTGTTTAGACGTGCTTTAAATCTCTTCTTAAAATCGTCGTCATTAGCTCCATAAGTAGACAGCATATATTTTGGGAATCCATTTACTTGTTGCTGATACCAGAAGAGAGTTGGCGATGGATCAATGCTTGTATACGTACAATTGATTATTGCAGCTGCTGCAGCTTCATCTGCCGTTTGAACTCTCATATTCTGGTGGACAGCATCCTCAGATTTACACCCTGGAATTTAGAAAACCATTTATCATTTGAATAACTCAATCATTCATTCATTCCAATTTTAAAATGGAAGAAAATCTACTTACCCAAAAAATATGAGATGAACAACACTAAATATTTTTGCCAGTGTGTCATCATAATTGTGTAAATGTGCTGTGTTAAATTAAACTAAACAGAATGAACACATCTACAGTAGAACAGATTTTTAACCCCCTTGTTGCTTCAGTCTCTCTCGCTAAAGTTACACTGAACACATTTACAAACACCTGGAGGAGGAGCCTCAGTATCTGAATACAGATAGTTTGACTGAAAGGATTTGTGAATCATTGTACAATATTTAGCATTAATTTTGATTCATATCTAATTTCTCAATTATATATGGACAGATAATGTGCAGATTACAGATAAAATAAAAATATGGAATACAGTTATTATAAAATATCAGTTTTGTTATGCATAACCCTAAACAAACTGTTAATTATATTTCATTTTTAATGCAACATGAAGGTATTTAAATAGATATAATAGATCTAAATGTTCTTGTATGAGAGTAAAGGGTTCTGTCACCACGGGCTTATGAACAGTAGCTCACAGTACAGTACACAGAGTCAGACACATGCAGATTCTTGATCATCAGTGGAACTGTTCTTGATGTGAAGTCTGATGAAGCAGAAAATATCTGTTTAAATTCATCCTCAGTAGTTCCTTTATCAACTGTAAATTCACTCAGAATGAATGTTGGTGATCTGTTTGGTAGCTGTTTGTACCAGAGGAGATTAAGCATTTGTAGAGTAATTGCACAGTAGAGTAACTTGAGCTGCTTCATTTGCAGTCATTTGTCTTGAATGTTGTTCAACATTGTCTTGTTCCCAGCACACTGGAAAATAGATTTATACATTATTCATGTGAACTTAGTGAAGAAATGGTGAAGTGTGAATGTTCTTACCAAAATCATGTGCTGTGAAGAAAAGAGTAATATAATTGCCCAAGTTAAAAAAGGAGAATATTTTAACAAGTGTTTTCTTCTTACAGTATAGTCTCTGTTTCTCTTTGCTATTTTAGGTTCTTCATAAGATTTTGAAGAATTATGCCTCCTTGTGGTTAGTTTAAATATTTTTTGCTGAGCTGAACCATTTAAATGTAACTTTAATATATTCTAACATAATTTGCAAGTAATTAATGTCAGAATCAAGTAATCAGAATATATAAGAAATAAATTGGACATTTTATTTTGCACTATTTGAATAATTTGACTTGGAGTGGGAAACTTCCTTAAAGAGAGTTGTGATGTAATTCTAAAATGTAATTCAGGAAGTATTGTGTTTCCTTTTCATTACATTTTCAGTAACCACACACAGGCGTGCTTCCACATATGAAATTAAATTGTGTGAATTTTAGATTGTGGGTTTGATATGGCTTGACATCAAAGGGGAAAATGAATTTGAGTTTTTGTACAGCTTCACATAGACTTTGTATTACTGGGCTCCTACTCTTAGAGCACAATAATAGAGAGCTGAATCTGACAGAGTTACATCAGTAATAGTGAGTTTAGTGGATGTTTGTGATGTAGTCGACTGAAAGCGAGGATCATCGGGGCTCCCACTTGCACTACCTGATCGTGCAGGCTTGAATAACAAATAGCGAAGCTCTCCATTTGGATACTGTCTATACCAGTACAGATAAACATAACTGCTGCTTGTATCATATGTGCAGCTGAGGGTCACAGTCTCCTCTTCCTTTATGACACTAGTTTCTTGATTTGGTCTAATCTGGTCTGCAGTCATCACACCTACAACAAATTAACAAAATAATTTCTGAGTCAAGTAACACAAAACTATTTCATTTGAATGTGTCTGAATACTGTAACGAATAAAAATGTCATGCCTGAAGTCAAAATTAAAATCAGCAGCAGGTGTGTTTCCATGTTGACTAGGTCAGATCAGGTGTGTATTAATGTAGTCTGTGCTCTGAGCTGTAGATCTGTGTTACTGTGAGTCTCTGCCGTTTCACACTCAAACACACTGGAACTTCCTGCTTTCTGTGTGATGATATCATGTACTGCTTCTCATGTTTTTGCTCTGCCATTAGTTAGAGGAAAGCTTTTGCTGCAAGGAATTATAGTATATTTGTATTTCTTTATACAAACATTAATTCTTAATGAACCAATAAAATGAACATTAATGTTTCAAAGTTTAAATACTTCTGGATTTAAATTAGATTTTGAATTCCAGATTCAGGTCAGATCCCCACTGCATAAGCTATTATAATATAATAGTTGAATGCTCACTGAAGAGCTTGTTTGTTGTGATGATTTGAGGCTCATGAAGCTGTGGATGAAGTTTGAAATAGCTAAACATGATATTATTTTGTAAACCCTGAACAATTCTTTATTGAGATAGGAGTTACTATAGTTACCACTATACTTATCCATATGTATTTTATAAGGCTGTTTATTCACTGGATATACCCATGAACATTTGTTTAGAATAGCTAAAAGGAGGGTCATCACTGTACGTGTGCTTACATTCTTAGCTTAAATGACACATGTCTCTGTCAGGTTCAACAACATGTTGAAATCTCACCTGCTTCACAACCTGGCAAAACGTAAATGCATCTATGATCTTATCACCTCTTTGAACATGGTTGCTTTATAAAATGTTATGAATACTTGGAGAAGCATCTTTTAAGTGAATCTTTGTGTGTGTGTGTGTGTGTGTGTGTCCCTTTTTTTGGCTAAATAGAGGGGTGTTCTCTTGTGTTACCTATAGCAGATATGGAGGTTGGATATGTGTGATGTAGATGCAATGCTGTGTATCAGGTTTTTGTACAGTGTTCTTGTGTTTCCTGTCACTGTGGGCTCCAGAGCGCAGTAGTACAGAGCAGAGTCTGATATAGATGCAGAGGAGATCTCCAGATACACAAGGTTTTCTTTGTCTTTGGTGACTTTGGCAGTGAATCTGGAATCTACATAAGACTCCTGAGCTTGTTTTGCACTGTCTAAGATGAGCACAATGAACTCAGGAGCTGATCCAGGATACTGACGATACCAGTACAGAGTATATGCAGATGAATAACTGCAGGATAATTTAACACTTGAACCATCATCAGCAAACTCCTCTGTTTTGGTTGGTTTGATTTCATTTCCATATGTTGCATCTGTAAAAGTAGACCAAATCTTTTATGAAATTTAATCTATATTCAGTTTAGATGTTCAGTATAGAATGCAATATACAACATAAAGAAATAGCTTTATACTTTAATCTTGAGAAGAAATTAGCCATTATGCCTGCTCAGAGTATTTAGATGCACAACAATTCAATACTTACACGAAAAGACAAAAAGCAGAATTACAGAATGGAGCATCATGGTGAGTGTTTCTTATTCTCTCTCTAACAGACTTGAAGTTTAACAAGATTACATCAGATATAAGTGCTTTAAACCCCACCTCTTTCAGAGAACTCTTTGAGAGAGCAGAGCACATCAGATCTGTTTCATATACACCACTTCATTTAAAGGGGTCATATGATGCGATTTCAATTTTTCCTTTCTCTTCGGAGTGTTACAAGCTCTTGGTGCATAAAGAAAATCTGTAAAGGTGCAAAGACTAAAGTCTCAAATCCAAAGAGATATTCTTTATAAAAGTTAAGAGGCAGCCACACCTACCTAAAACGGCTCGTTCTAACACGCCCCCACATATCTACATCACTATGTGGGAAGATTTGTATAACGCCGCCCAAATGTTCATGCAAAGAAAGAAGGCGTAACTTTTATTCTCACTGTAGTATTGTTGTTGCCGCCGCCATGTCGTGAAGGCGCCTGTGTGATTCGTTGTGAAAGCGAAACTACTTTGTTTGGCCTTCCAAAAGAGGACGATATCTGCTTCGTCATGCCTGGAGCTGATCCGTGCTGGTCGCTGAGGAAATACATCAACTTTGCGCTGTGGATCGCCGGATCGGCTTTCACCGTCGACGAAGCGGAGTCCAGCCGGGGTTGTC